TTTAGGAACTAGAGGAAGGTTGTATTTCTCATCATTGTTACATCGCACCCTGACTGGCTCATCTCCTCCCCGAGACCGCAGTGGGCACTCTTAAGAAGGAACACAGTCCAGCGCAGGAAAGCTCTTGTGGTCAAGACTTCCTCCATTGGTAGGGCTTTCCTGAATAAGGTGGGGAAGCATGAAAGCTGTTTGAGTTACCATAAAAAAGAACTAAAGTCACCCTGGGAAAAGGTGGTGCAGCTCTGAGCAATGAGGTGGATGGCTTTGCAGAAAACCCCGACCTCCATTTGTAGGAGAAAAATGTTGCTCATCATGACCAACCAAGGATGATGCATGGCTCTTTTTTGATGAAAGAGACTCCCCAAGACTTTGTGTTTCAGGACCTCATTCCTTTTGCCTCTCTGTCCCAGAACAACACGAACCACTAGGAGCTGTGCTCACCAGTGGATCTGTTTTTCCAAAACGCAGCTTGCTTTAGTGGTCAAATTTGGTTTGCTGTTTTCAGGGTTCAGAGGGAGCTTCTGCTCTGTTACTGAGCTCATTGGACCAGCAGTGCCGTCCTTGATCAAAAAGACAAGCCGTGGACACCCGTACTGAAAGCAAAGGAAAACTTCGTACTGAAAGCAAAGGAAAACTTCGCAAGGAAAGAGACAAAAATCACACAATCACTGTAAACCAAGTCAGTTTTCAAAGCTTTGCATTTCCAACATAATGGCCCAACGTCTCAGGAGCAAGGAAGCTCACAAGACAAACCACGTACCATTTCTCTAGTCTTTTTCATGCATCTCCCTGCACTGTCATGACCCCAGTTCTGCCTTACAAATCCCGCTACACTGGTACAGGTAAGAGCTCTTGACACACAGAATCCCCGAACAGTAATGGGAGTAGCAATACCATGAGCGGGGAGAAAGGGAGAACCATATGCAATAAAAGACCCCTAAACACCCCACCCCCCGCCCCACCGAGGGGGACGAATAACAGAAACATGAATGGAGGGAGACATCGAACAGTGTAAGATATCAACAT